TAAAGCGTATAAAACACTAATATTCGGGCTTTTTGATGGAAATTCCAGTCCATTGTCTGCGTTTGTTCGCAATTAACATCGTCTGAAATTACAGATCACAACGTGGAGAACCGAACATGTTTGTCGTGTTTTCTCAGTGAGTAGTTCTGACAACGTGGCCTCAGTTTGTTCTGATGAATCAATCAAACCAGACTAATGTTGTACTGTGTGTGTTTCGGTGAACAAACCTGAGTTAAGCGTGAAGTTCTGCTCCGTATCTCTGGATGTTAAGTTGTGACTGTCACCAGTTGGTCTGGGTGTGTTTCCTGAGTAATCACCAGGTGTTAAACATCTGGCTAAATGGAAACGATCTCTATGGATGAAATGGGTCAGAAATGAAAAAAAAGAGTAATCGAGCTGATTGGTGGCACAGTGCGTAAAGCACCGACATCGTGTTTTTGCATCTGAACGACGTGGTTTCGAATCCTCCCACCGGACTTAAAAAATACATGTTTTTTTATTTTGGTCAGTATGTTTGGTTTTGCTGTTTGTAGATAATATTGGCATGGATGTAGACTTTATTAGCGTTTACTTTTGTCGCCGAGGTCTTCTTTATGTCTTTATATCTTTATCTTCACACACAGACAGGTCTGATTGTGACGAATTTGCAAACGGATCATCTGGAGGGTAAATACATCGTCAGTTAACCTGGAACACTTTTCTGTCCTGTGAAACACTAGATTTTTGTGAATTTAAATCAGCCAGTGTAGCGCAATGTGATCTAAATCTGCCAATATCATATCACTGTATTGATGTTATACTTGAACACTTGGTGTTCTGTTGCCACACGGTTTAGTAACCTTCATGTCAGAATAACATACACATTGGGTTGGTCTCCTGTCTCTGTTGCTTTCCTACTAACATGTTTTAATAGTGATCAATGAGCGATGACAGCTCCAGCGGGTCCGACTGCGCTCACGTAGTTTCCTTCATCGAACCCGACTGCGGCCTGACTTTTAGAATTTAGAGAAGAAAAGTACAGCAGAAATCTCATTTTAAGTGACTAGCTTGTCAGATTGTTTATTTCCTGGTTAGTCGGTAAGGGATCCTGAAAAGCCAAGCCTACGAAACATCTGTCTCAGAGACGCTAGTGTCGCCAGTTGATCTGATCGCCAGTTGATCTGGAACAAGCTAACCCGTGTAGCTAACTTTAGCTAAAGGTTTGTTAGCTGTGGTTAAATGTTGTTCGTGTTCATGCTACATGGCAGCTATATGTTTTGTTTCATGTTTATGTAGTGTGATTGTGTATTTATTTTATTTTCTCTGTATTTTCAGTTTTACAAGACGTTCGAAAGCTATAAAAGAACAGTAAATGCCAAGGAAAGCAAGCCTTGTGTGTTTATTGAACATAGCTCGAACATGTTAACTGGCTATCTAGCAGTGCGAAGCTGACGCAGTGTGAGGGCAGCACAACATATTTGGATTAATATATTTTAAGAGTAGTCAAGGTACCCTGAAGTATTTTGAAGGGAGAGTGTTGTATTGATTGTTAATTTGTTATCAAGATAAGGTACCACACATGGTTTAGAAGGTACTATTTTGAGTTATTTTGGGGTAACATTTTGTACTTGCAAAATCATACAGAAGAAATATATTTTTGGCCATTTCATTTAAAACATTTAATTAAAGTGCTTTTATTTTATTTAATTATAAACAAGCTGTCTGGGGTAATTTTTTTTTCTAAAAACGAGTGTGTATTAATTGTGGATAGATTTGATCGTTTGAAGTGTCAGAACAAGGCAAGTCTAATTCACATCAGGTAAACCTTAGGGTATCTACCTTAGTAGTACGAACCCAAACACCCCAGTATCCTAAGTTGTTGAAACCATCAAAGTGTTAAATTATGGGTGCTGAGGTGCTACATACGTAACAAACCTAGAGAACCAGTCCTGGGGTGGAACTTACCATCATTGTTATTCTTCACAATCAGTTTCTGGTACAAACATTCATCCATTCATTATCAGTGCACCACTTAATCCTCACGAGGGTCACGTGGGGCTGGAGCCTATCCCAGCTGACTCAGGGTGAAGGCAGGGGACACCCTGGACAGGTCACCAGTCTATCGCAGGGCCACACTTAGAGACAGACAACCAAGCACACTCACATTCACACCTACTGACAATTTAGAATCACCATTTAACCTCAACATGTTTTTGGACTGTGGGAGGAAGCTGGAGAACCCAGAGAGAACCCACGTTGCACAGGGAGAACATGTAAACTCCACGCAGAAAGATCCCAGGCTAACTAGGACGTGAACCAGGGATGTTCTAGCTGCGAGGCGATGGTGCTAATCACCGAGCCACATTGCAGCCGCGGTTCAAACATGTAGAGCAGTTTCACAGTGTTTGAGCAGAATCATAGATGAGCTGGTGTGCTTGAGCTGCAGCAAGTGGCAGATGAGTAGTTAGACATAGAAGAAACATCTGTGTAGAGTTACATCTAGGCCATTCTAACCCAGTCTCATGGCAATTTGTAAAATAGTCATGAAATTGAATCTATTGTTTCGTGTCCTGGGACGTGATTTGCCCGACTTTTTCGGGTTCCCCAGCATGAATTTCAAACTAATACATTTGAATTGGAATTATCTTTCGTGTCTGGGACACATTTTTTTCCCTATCAGACAGTGCATATACTGTGATGTTTTAGTTGTTCTTTTCTTCCGACAGTCAGGCATTAACCAATTTTACTGTTATGGCCCGTCCACACTAATTGTAACGTCGGTTGTTGCTTATCCAGATGTAAAATAAGAGACGGCAACTTGCGGTGCTTTTCATGTCTTTATTGAACATCAGCAACTGAACCAGGGACCGGCGCAACCCACAATACCTTGCGCAGGTATCTCTTAAAGTGACAGTACAGTGTAACTGTATAACATACATTACACTAATCCCTATAGAGATCACGATAAAAATGTGTGCGCCCACACTGACCAACGTTAACATTTTGTAAACACTGGTGCTGAGCAGCTACCGTGTGCTCCACCTGCTATTATCTCCGTATTCATTAATAGAAAAGACAAGAAATATATCCAGGCAGAGAGAAACTGTTCTGAGATCGCTCTGAAAGTGATCCCAACCATATAATTCATAGCAATTATCGTTTATTTATGGTAAAATATAAGTGCTTTTACTGTGTTTGGGCTACATGCTCGTCGTTACTTTCATTTCTCTGTAAACGAATACAACGCTGAAAAGGACACATGCAGGAAAACGGCAACCGGAACATATACTGTGATCGCAGCGATGGATAATCTGACTATTGTAACTATTGTAAGGCCAGCGGTGGGGAATGTATCTGTCGCTTTGTGCAGCTTTTAGCTCGCTTGTCAAGGCTGTCTACGTTAGCTACTTGCCCGGCTGCTGCTGCTGCTTCTTCTTCTATTGATTTGGCGGTTGGCATCCAATGTTCAGGTGCATTACCGCCACCTACTGTACACACAAAAACATTACGGATCCTATAGGACGGATGTCTTCTGGGTCTACGGCGAGGCTGTGCGCCGACGCAAACAGGGTTGCCTTAGGAACGAGCGCAGATTTCCCCCAAACACTGCCGGTGTAATGAAAACACAAAAAATACCACAATATGATGTACTCTTTTGCACTTATTTCACACTACACATATTATACTTTAACAGTAGCACATTTGTCAGTACTTCAATCTGTTTATTTTAGTTTATAATACAAAAACACAACCCTAGTTGTAAACCCTAAGAAGAACTACATATTTCATGGCGTGTCCAATCATGTTGTATTCTAACACTACTGGAAGTTGTAGTTCTTTCTTCAAAATAGCCGTTTCTCCAAAATGGAGTCATAAAAAAGACAGCCCTAGAATGACCCTTTACTGCTTTGAAGTATCTCACATTTTAACTTGGCAAGATTCAGCTAATCTGACCTTGTAACTCAAACTTGTTTGTTAGTCTGCTTCTCCAATAAAAGCACTCTAGTTAATTCTTAAGTCAGTTGGTTTTCATATCGATCTTGTTACCTCCACTCTTCCAATCAGGACTGGAGTTGATGAGATCAATATGAAGTGAGAGAATCGTTCTTAAATTACAACCTGACCTGCTCTTTATTGACAGAGCAGTAGTCTGTGAAATGGCATAATAGCCTGAAGGCAGACACACGCACGCACGCACGCGCGCACACGCACACACACACACACACACACACACACTAATGAGAACTTCTCTGTACATCCCCTGTGCACTCTTTGCTATATTTACTTAATTCAGGAGGTCACACTTGCCCAAACACACTCACACACATAAAGATGGAGACCGCAGGTGATGTCAGTACATGTGGAAAATTTTAATTTGTAAGACTTTTTTTTTTTTTTTTTTTTGGTTTTTTACACATTTCATAATAGTTTTACTTAACATTACCGCAGCTCACAGTCATGAGCACTCCTTTTTCTGACACTGAGTTCCTATTATGTTTCCTCACCTGTCAGCTGAGTTAGACCATTTTAATGCTGCTGTGTTTCAATAGAAAACTTTGTCAAGCACTCAGCAGTAGCTAAAACTGGAGGAATAAATTCTATTGTACAGTCAGCTCCTTGCTTTTTTTTCAGAAATAGTATGAAACAAGTGCAAACCAAGACAAATGTCCAAAGACGGTTTTATTATTTAAAGTTTACCAGATGTTGCTGCATCAGACATTTGCTCAGAAATTCCCATTACTGTCCCAGTAAGCTGGCTTGCGGTGCCTGAGGCGAATACCTTTCGGTTTAGAGTTTTACAAGCTCAGCAAACCATTTAGTGACCAGTTATGCCTTGCAGAAGGAGGTTAATGCCATCCTGGAGAAGAAGACACCCGCTCTGTTAGAAATGCTTTAGTAAAGGTTGAAGGTGGTCACTTCATTAATTATTGCCTGTGAAAGTGTTCAGCTTCTGTAAGAGGACCAAAAATCTTTCCGTCCTACCTCAGCAAGCTGTATTCTTTTTGTTTACATTTTGACAGGGGCTGTGGGGTTGCCTCTTCCTGGTGTGGAGGTTCGGATTGTCATGAATAACACAACCAACACCACAATTGTGGAGGGAACTCACAGAGAGACTCAGGTAATCAATGGTTTAATAATTGTAAGGTGATTTGTATGCAGGCAGTGGATGGAAAACAGAAATATAGTACATGAAGAGACAGAAACTAAAATAAATCAGCAGAACAACCTAGTTTTTGACTTTTGACTGTAGTTTAGATGATGTTGATTCATAGATTAAAGCTGTTCATGTCATTGTATTTCAAATTACATTCACTTAACTTATAGTTTCTAAAATGTATACATACTAAAGTATGCAAAGAATTGGTGAAATTGGTTTTAAATTTCAAATTGCAAGCTGTACTGTGCAAGCTATGAAATAGATATTGGCTGCGCACTTTCCAGAAATACACATGTGGACAAAATTGTTGGTACCCCTCGGTTTATGAAAGAAAAACCCACAGCGGTCACAGAAATAACTTGAATCTGACAAAAGTAATGATAAATAAAAATTCTATGAAAATTAACCAATGAAAATCAGACATTGCTTTTGAACTGCGGTTTAAAAGAATTATTTTACAAACTAAACTCATGAAACAGGCCTGGACAAAAATGATGATACCCTTAACTTAATATTTTGTTGCACAACCTTTCAAGGCAATCACTGCAATCAAACGATTTCTGTAGCTGTCAATGAGACTTCTGCACCTCTCAGCAGGTATTTTGGCCCACTCCTCATGAGCAGACTTCTCCAGTCGTATCAGGTTTGAAGGGTGCCTTCTCCAGATGGCATGTTTCAGCTCCTTCCACAGATGTTCAATAGGATTTAGATCAGGACTCATAGAAGGCCACTTCAGAATAGTCCAATGTTTTCCTCTTCGCCATTCTTGGGTGTTTTCAGCTGCATGTTTTGGGTCATTATCCTGTTGCTAGACCCATGACCTGCTACTGAGACCAAGCTTTCTGACACTGGGCAGCACATTTCTCTCTAGAATAACTTGATAGTCTTGAGATTTCATTGTAGTCTGCACAGATTCAAGACACCCTGTGCCAGATGCAGCAAAGCAGCCCCAGAACATAACAGAGCCTCTTCCATGTTTCACAGTAGGGACAGTGTTCTTTTCTTGATATGCTTCATTTTTGCGTCTGTGAACATAGAGCTGATGTGCCTTGCCAAAAAGTTCCAGTTTTGTCTCGTCTGTCCATAGGACATTCTCCCAGAAGCTTTGTGGCTTGTCAACATGCAGATTGGCAAATTCCAGTCTGGCTTTTTAATGATTTGTTTTCAACAATGGTGTCCTCCTTGGTCGTCTCCCATGAAGTCCACTTTGGCTCATACAACGACGGATGGTGTGATCTGTGACTGATGTACCTTGACCTTGGAGCTCACTTTTAATGTCTTTAGAGGTTGTTCTGGACTCTTTTGGTACCATTCGTATTATCCATCTCTTCCATTTGTCATCAGTTTTCCTCCTGCAGCCGCGTCCCCAGAGATTGGCTACAGTCCCATGGATCTTAAATTTCTGAATAGTATGTGCAACTGTAGTGACAGGAACATAAGGCTGCTTGAATATGGTCTTATAGCCTTTACCTTTAGCATGCTTGTCTATAATTTTCTTTCTAATCTCCTGAGACAACTCTCTCCTTCGCTTCCTCTGGTCCATGTTTAGTGTGGTACACATCATGTCACCAAACAGCACAGTGACTGCTTGTAACCCTATAAATAGGCCGACTGACTGATTACAGGTTTGTAGACACCTGTGATGCTAATTAGAGGACACACCTTGATTGAACATGTCCCTATGGTCACATTATTTTCAGTCTTTTCTAGGAATACCATCATTTTTGTCCAGGCCTGTTTCATGAGTTTATTTTTTTTAATAATTCTGTTAAACCATGGTTCAAAAGCAATGTCTGATTTTCATTGGTTAATTTTCATAGAATTTTTATTTATTTTTACTTTTGTCAGATTCAAGTTATTTCTGTGACCGTTGTTGGTTTTACCAACAATTTTGTCCACATATGTAAAATAACTACTGAAAGAACTTATAATAAAAACAGTATTTTGAGTCATTGTAGCATCTGGTTTCTTGCTGTCCTAGGCGAGTGCATCACCTAGCAATCAGCTAGATCATCATTTAAGCATTTTTCTGGCTGCAGGTGCATCCAGGCCTGGAGGGAAAAGAAGGGGAGCTCCTGGTTCGAGGTACATCTGTCTTTAAAGAGTACTGGAACAAACCTCGGGAGACCGCTGAGTCCTTCACTGATGATGGCTGGTTCAAAACAGGTGACAAACCTTCCTCCTCTTCCTCTCTCTTTACTCATATCTCAGCACTGTACATGGACACACACATTCGCGCACTCTAAAGGGAGGGAATTCTGCAGCTAATTGCATGTGCATGATTGGTACTGTCAGAGGGATTCACAGGAGGACAGATGTCCTGAGATTTTTTCATCTGTGTTGCAGACTGCACTTTCAGGACAAGATATTTTAAACACTTAAAAACCAGGAGTCCAGTCTTGGAAGCACACACACATACTCACAAATTGTATCTGTGCACATTTTGGGGGACGATGAGGGAGTGATAAATGGACTATGTGTGTTTTTGGTTGCTGCAGGGAATTTGTCCTCCGAAGTGGTTGTGACTGCTCTGGGTCTTGAGGAACCAAATATGCTCTCTCACTCTTCCTCTCCCTCCCTCTTTCTTTAATGTGTGTGTGGTGGCACAGAGGGAAGCTGTCATCAGAGGCTTTCTCTCCGTGTCATGTAGACGACAGGAAATAAGAGCCAGAAGCAAAAGAGCGGGGAAGGAGCTGGAAGTATTGAGCTCGGAGATGTGGTGCTGGAGGGGTTAAAAAGAGTCAGCTGCAAAGGCTGCAAGTGGGGACGGACAAAGTAGGGATGGGGAGCTGCTGGTGGTGGAGTGGGAGGGAGAAGTAAGGAAGGAGCAAGTGATGGAGAGTGAAGCAGGGCGAGGCAATGGGAGCGCAAGGCAGAGTGTGTTTAATTGGCTTTGCAGGCTGGAAGGACAGAGATCCAGAGCACAGCACGTTGCTGTCACACTCCATTACAGCCACTGGCCACATAATGAGAGCCTGTGCAATCAGCTCCCCACAGACCAGTCCCTCAAGCCACACACACACACACACACACACACACACACACACACACAGTGGGAAGTATTCAAACATGTTCCTTGCCCACCCAGCTCCCTGAGTTCCCCGATGCCAGCTTCAACACACACATATCCGATAAAGTGCCATGAAGTGGGAGGAGTTTATGGCCATGCAGGGTTTCAGAAATTCAATTCAATTCAATTTCAATTCAATTTTATTTGTATAGCGCATATTTACAACAACAAGTCATCTCATAGCGCTTAACAAAGGCAGAAACAGAAACACCCAACAATCCAAAACATTTGGATTCCCTATAAGCTTCAGAGTAGTTTATTAGGGTCCGAGCACCCAAAAGGGTGCAAAGACCCTATTGAAATGCTAGAGATTATTAGGGTCCAAGCACCCAAAGGGTGCGAAGACCCTACTAGAATGGTAGGATTTTTTTTAGGGTCCAAGCACCCAAAAGGGTGCGAAGACCCTCTTGGAACTGCTCGGATTATTATTAGGGTCCGAGCACCCAAAGGGTGCGAAGAACCTACTGGAATGGTAGGATTTTTTTTAGGGTCCGAGCACCCAAAAGGGTGCGTAGGACCCTATTGGAACTGCTCGGGTTTTTATTAATATTCCGTACAAAGAAACGCATTTTTGAGGTACTAAACGTACTCACACACGCACCAAACTTGGCACACACATTAGACCCGGCGAAAATTTTAGAATTTGGAAGAAAAATACACACCTCACTACAGAAATTGCTCCATAGCGCCACCTTGAAAATTTCCTGTCCTGTCAAAAGCACGTTTGCCCTAGAGCTACACAATTTCATACGCATATAGAGCTGGTCGGCACCAACAAAAAAGTCCCTTGGACTTTGCTCTAAAATGCAACATGGCTCAACTGCGCTCCCTACAATATTTCAACAGACTCCCATCAGGGCTATGTTTCATCTGGAACTACGAAATTCGCCACACATATGTAACAACTCATGTCGCACAAAAAAGTCCATTAGCATGTTTCTGTAAACCTAACAGGAAATCTGCTATGTTGGAACAACGGCGAGCATGTCAGGCCATTTTCGCTGAAAAATGGCCATTTTTGGCCATTTTCAAAGTCTATCTCCTCCTAGGGGGTACGTCGTACACACCTGAAATTTGACCAGCACAAACTACAGGACGTGGTGATTAACAATTATCAAAATGCTCTGCAGATGAGGCCCGGTTTGGAAATGGCGGCCAGTGCAATATTGATCAATGGCCATTTTTGCTAATTTTTGGCCATTTATGGTCATTTTCAACCACTATCTCCTCCCAGGGGGAACGTCGTACACACCTGAAATTTGGTCAGCACAAACTACAGGAGGTGGTGATTAAAAGTTATCAAAAGGCTCTGCAGATGAGGCCCGGTTTGGAAATGGCGGCCCGTCCAATGTTGATCAATGGCCATTTTGTCTATTTCCGCTGTGTTTTTTGCATTCAACTGAATATTGTCGGAAGGTCGTTTCACCTACACCGACAAGATTCGCTCGACATGTGTAGCAGGTCAGGACGCACAAAAAAGTCAATCAGCACCAAGTCCCAAACCCAACAGGAAGTCCGCCATTTTGAAAAAACACAGTGACACTTTTGGCGATTCTGGGTGACTTTTGGACATTTCTGGCCATTTTCAAAATCTATCTCCTCCTACAGGGAAGGTCGTACACACCTAAAATTTGGCCAGCATAAACTACAGGAGGTAGTGATTACACGCTAGCGAAACAGTCTGCAAAAGTCTGACGGCGTGGAAATAGCGACCCCCGCAATTTAGCTACGACGCCATAAAACACCATAATACGAGACGTGTTGTGTAACTGGCCTATGTAGGATATGGACAGACACAGATGCCCAAAAGCATTCAAAAAACTTCATTTGAACTTTCCAGCACCCAAGTCACATGCCATAAAAAAAGACAGAACTATCCTGCAGGTCACAGGGCCATGTAAATCAGCTCTGCAGACTCAGAGGAGTGAGGAAGCAGAGCTCCCTTTGGAATTCCCTTATCATACCTATCAGAGCTTCAAAGGATCTAACACAAAGAAACTTTTGGGGGAAGACCACTCAGACCTTAACAAATGGTCCAGATGGCCGGGTGCAATGAAGTGCCCCGGGCTTAACGTATTGCTCTGCTGACCCCTCATTTCCTGTGGTATGCAACAACTGGACTGAACAACTGAACTTATGAATGAACAGTGAAGACAGCACCACAGGATGTGCCTTATTATCTTATGTTAAGTTTAGTTGTTAAATGTTGTGTTATATCATGTCCTGATAAATACTCCAAAGCTTAATTACAGTTGGATAAGTCCTTCTTTAATTTATCAGCTTGTTATATAATCATATATCCCAAAACTGCATTATCTTTGTAACCGTACGAGCTAGATGTATCACGTTTGGATTCTTTGTGAACCGCTAGATATGATAGATTTATTTTCAGTAGTTTTAACTTTGTATAATTGAAAGTACATATAGTTCTGAAGGAACATTGTTACTTTCAGAGCAAAACTCTGACCACCTCATGACCTCCCTGTGATACTGGGGTGTCATATCTAACAGCCCCTCTGGGAGCGGAGCTCGCTGTGATTGGTCAGTAGTTTTACTATTAAAAAGCCTCTTCACCCGAAAAGCAGTGGCATTCTCTAACTGCTGTAGAGCTGCTCACTTTGGTCCAATGTAGCAACTTCAACTGCCACACCCTGATCCAACTCAAGCTGAAGGCCTCGTCTCCCAACTCCAGACGCTGCTGCACCCAGGAAACTGCAAGTATCAAGCTTCTGTCTCTAAACGGGTGTTTCATGATTACAATTGGCCTTCCGACCAGTATTCCAAATTTAACCGATTATCTGCTGCTTCAGGTGAAAAGACTTTTAAGTCTCCAAGCCACCACTCTGTTCCACATTCGGTTTTCACACTCATATTCTCAACCAGCATTTTCATCATTGTTTGTATTTTATATTTTATGTTTGTTGTTGTTATTTGTTTGTTTGTTTTAGTTAGTCATAAATGTTTGTTTTTGATATGATGATAGTTTTTTCCTGTGTTTTCTATAGCTAACATCCAGTCACTTTACGTATCTGATCTTTATTTACCTAAGCTCTAAGTTAATTCCCTTAACTTTATGAAACACTCTTGATTGATCACCAAGAGTAAACAATTTATTAGAATTATTGTGCTGACTGAAATTATATCGCTGGACGAATAATTCAAAGGTTGGTTTTAATAATTTTAATTAATGCAATCACTTGCTTTGGTGTGAAAATAAGTACATCTTATTTTCCACACTAGAATATATCTTACACCTATGTGTGCTCCGATCGGCCACCTGGGGGCGTAGCCACAACGCCATAACTCGCCAGAATATGAGACGTGCTGTGTAACTGGACTGTATGTGCTCCGATCGGCCTGAAATTTTACACGCGTGCTCTGAGTCTCAGCCACAGCGCGTTGCCAGCATGCCACACCATGCACGCCGCCTCGGTTCGCCATTAAACAGGAAGTGAAGTGTAAATGGCCGATACATGCTCCAATTGCTCTCAAACTTCACATGTTGCATCACACTCTAATCCTCATCCCAGCCATATGACCACTCTCACTCACATCGCCACCTGGGGGTCTGGCTCAAACGTTGCACATGCAATCACAGTCAGACCTTAATCACAGCCATATCGACCCTTGGTAGACACACCACCTGGTGGAAACAGCAAGTGCTCATAACTTTCCATCAGTTACCCTCAAAAGTACGTTTTATCAACATGCACTACATTTGTCAGCCACGTTATTTATCATTCACTCATTTTACCACAAACTGGAAAGAGGACATGTTATATGCAGTCACATAGTCGACATCCTTTTCACTTAGATGTTGTGCTACTCTTATGAAGCTATTCACCATCACTTGTGCTAAGTACTTGATAAGAAATTATAGCAGCTTTCATGTTTACGCCAAAACAAGCAAGACATCGCAGGGAATCGAACCCCGTCCCTGTAAACCAGGAGTACCATTATCAGTGCCTTTTGCTTTTTGACACTACATGGAAGGCAAAGCAAAACCTGCATTACAACAGCATATGGGTGACTGCTTTTCACATTGTGGTCACATTTTACATTGCATTACTCACATGTGACATACAATTTTGTTTAC